TAAAACATACATTCCTCAGAGAATAATGACTTACATTCATAGTCTCAGAAGTCAGACTCCCCAGTACTTAAATTCATCATAGCAATGGTATAAGCAGTCAGGCCAAAATCGTAACTTTCTATAGATGGAATACCTCGTATTAATTCAAACCACTTTTCATAGTTGTTAAGAACCACAGTTCTCATAGATGCAGGAGATCAAGTTTACAGAATCTCAGTGATTTTCAGTCTTTTACTTAAAGATTGAATATCCAAATACAAGCACTTTACCATCACAGTCGAAATACCTCCATTATCTGTTTTGTTGTAGGATAGGAGAATCACAGGAAGCCCAAACATTTGCACTAGAGTTACTTAGGACCAGTCAGTCATGAAACTTTTGTACAGTTTTCCACAATAACTGAAAGCACACTTCCATTGAAAAGTTTGTTGACAGTTTAAGCTCTCTTATAGCTTAGTAGACAGTAGATACAGCTTCTATCAATCTATACTGGTAATTTTTTATTTTTTTTCAGCAAAAACCCTCACTTGAGACAAACACAACATCCATGCTGAAACTGCTGTACCTCCTTCAAGACTTTTTCAGCTATAGAGAGGTCATTAAAAAAAAAATTAAAAAAAATTCCCAATCTTAAATACTGTCCCTGTAAAAGGGCCCCACTCGATAACAATAAAACCTTTTCCGGGCAGAATTCAAAGCAAAAACATGTAACAACCTTTAAAAATGCCATTTTCTCTTTAAACATTTTACATTGGCTTTACAGCTGGACTACAGGCCAATAAAGAAATAATTCTGACTGTGTTTTTTGAGACTGAACACACACACTGCCCTTAGGTGTGGGACTCCTTTTGTGGGTAATTCGGTGATGCAATTACTGCGTGCTAACTATGCCAACTGCTCCTGAAAACTCTGCTGGGGATGAAAGTCTAATTAAAGTCTCTTGACTTTAGAGTAAGAGGGAAGGGATCCCCATTTCTGGTACACCTTTACTGAAACTGCCCTGGGAGCGTGGCGAGAGGGAAGGTAAAACAAAGGTTGTGCGAGTTCTCCTTGGAGGAAAAGTTTTGGGGAACTGTTTGAAGAGAAAGCACAAAGTCCTGTCACAGTTATCAAAATATACACATACTTAGAGAGTGAAGAGAACTTGTTTTTAAATGTCTTAGAAGAATATGATAACGAAAGTACTGCAAACATCTTAAGGCATTTCCTGATGTCATGGTGTCACCTTTTCAGCTAGATAATAAGTACTAGTAAAAAGGTACATATAATATTGTATGTAGTATAATAGCTTTAGCATAATATGCATCTGTTTGCTACAAGGTATTAGCAACCTTAATTATATTTTCAGAAACAGCAGGTTTTTGTACTCACCTGTGCAAAACCAACACTACTGAAAAGGGCAGTGTAAAGAAAAGAACATACAGAACTCATGAAGAACAGTCTATTTATTTTATTTCATCTTGCATTTGTGCTGTTAAAGCAAAGCATTCTATACATATTATTTAGCTATTTACTGCCATTCTACACCCATTATTGACCTAATTGCAAAGAGACAAATGCAGGGACAAACTTGTTAAAATAAGCATATTGATAAGGCTTCTCTGACTTCGACAAATATTTATTTAAAAATAAGATACTGCTCATGGGTTTCTTTTATTAACAGTTAATGGCTCAATTCACAGAAACTTTGAGACACCATGGAACATGTAGCAAAATGCAATGCTGATCATACGCAATTGTCTCTTCTCTCCACTGAACATTCTGCATAAGCAGAATATTATGGTAACAGCTGAGCTACCGATTAATCAAACACCTAAATGGAAAGAATCTGGTGAGTGATGGATGGTAACCTTTAGATACAAGATGATTCCATACTTATTTGCGTAGGCAAAAAAATCTTCAGTGTCACAGCCAGTAGGAATTATCATCTCAAAATACTTGTATGTGTATTTTAAAATAATGTGAGCCAGCTTTATAGCAGGTATCATAGTATGACTGCAAGTAAGGTATGGGAAAAACTTGAAGAAAAAAATAAATAAATCCAAGTACTCTGACTTGTTTCAAAGCCGACTAACATTGCAATGATTTAAAAAAAAAAGTACAATGTATTTTTGTTTTGTTTCTAAACAATACTTTTAGCTGTGCAAAATCACACTCCTGGAATATCTTTAAAACCACTCCTGTGAAATGTGGAAAAACAGAAGTGAAGTGACAGTGTGAATCAGAATGGGAATTTTACTGCAACATAAAAATATCTCAAAACACTACATTAAAATATTTAATAAATCACTTTGTTCTACAGCTTCTAACAGAAACAGTTGACTGTCAGCTGTGGCATCTATGAGAATACCTGCTGAAAAACAGGCAAGGTGTATCTATCTCCATATTAAAATCAATTTGACTAGTCTGAATATCTAATAGCTTCTCACTAACAGATTGACTTAAAACAAAAACTGGTAAGATTTCCAATCAGACTAAATAGTTCTACCATTACGGTAGTACACTAGGTTGGCTGCTTCACTGTATCTGGATGAATGGGTGAATAAAGAGCTGAATGGGCTAAAGAGGTTTTCTCTCAACATGTGTCCATTATTTCCCTCTTATCTTTTTAAAAGAGGAAACATTTTCAAGTGCTTTTGGAGCTGCAGACTGATTTCTTGAGGAACTACTGCTACAGAAATACTTCAAACAAGTGTTATATGTGCCATACTTAAGAGTCTCCAGACCGCGATACGCAGGTGTTGTAACCAAAGCACAACAATGGAATTTTAACAGAGAATGAACATTCCTTTACAGTTTTGCAAACAGAGCTAGAACAACCAGAATTTAAAGATTTACTTTCACAATTCACAGGTTGAAAATTATTTTAAGGAATGTTTGATTGTGTACAATACAAAGAGGTCTTCAGAATTCACTCGCTGTCAGTAGCACATCGCATTGAAAGAACAGGAGCACGCCACAAATTCATTATTTAAATAACACTTATCCAAGTGGGCACCTCTGCTAGCTGCAGAATTCCAGGCTCTCAGCCCTTTGCAGTTACGTGGCCCTGAAATTCTTTGGATATGGAATGCATTTAATTCAGTTTAGTTGTGCAAGAGATATTTGAAGCGGCGAAATCACATTATGCTATGCCCCAAAACCTTCCAATAAAAAGTACATGTGTTGATTATAAATCCCAAGTCTGTTTAAAATTTCTTCATTAAAAAAAGCAAACCCACACAATTATATTAAGTATTTAAACAGGAATAAATACTTCTCCTGAAACTCAGAGAACATGTGCATTCAGCTATCATTAAAAACAATATCAGGTACTAACCTTTTACTCTGCACTATGTGTATGGTGAAACAATATTCCCAAACCAACAGTACTCACAGTGGAAAGCAAGAACATTTCTTTTAAGCAAATTCAATGCTATAATGCTGCTGCTACTTCTTTTCCTAGTATTGTTTTTCTGGAAAAATGGGTGAAGTTGAGAGAAATAGAAAAGTAATAAAACACTTCTTAAAATTCATCACTATATTCACAGTCACATGAAGGAAGCTGCGCTCTTTTTATTCTAAGGAATACTTTGCAAGCATCTGGAAGTAAGCATTTTTGTCTGCAGTTTGGGAGCAAAGGAAGGGAGAGATCCTCCTCTTGAAGAAAAAAAGACTGGAGAATCAAATCCCATTCCCTGTGCAGTCAGGGTAAACATTGCCAGTACTGGGGGGGGGGCGGGGGGGGCAGGCAGGATTTTCTCCTTAGTCCCTCTGAACAACAGTTTCCTTCAGCCCTATCATTTAATTTTGAAGTGGAATTTGTTTTATACTGCAGACCAATAAGTACCCTAGGAGCTTGATTGGTTGGTGCTTAATGAAATTGCTTCTGCTGACATTAGATACATTAGGATACTGATTAAAACACTTAATGATCCCTCTTGATTTTAAATTGCTAGCTTAGATTTGCGAGATGCCATCAAAGTATCTTCTTCCTTCCTTTCCTCCACCCTAATCCTGCTTCTCCTTGCCCTTTTTCTGTTCATGATCCTTAAAGGTTGTGGCTCATTGGCACCAGCATGATCAAAACCCAAACGATAACACGATGTTGAACACTGCATTGTTTAAAATATGCCAAACCCCAGAATATAAACACTGAAAGACAGTTGTCTTTAAAATACAATTTCCTGGTTCAAAGCTCAAACTATTCTTAAATGTGGAAACACTGAGGATTATTAAAACCAAGGGAAATCCAAAGTCGGAATAAACTTTAAATTTTTAAAATATTTGCTGAAAAAAGATAATCCTGTAAATGTAAAACAAGTATAAAAGCTTTACTTTTGAGCTTCAATGTGGAAGACAGTGACACGTTGCCAGATAATGGTGTTGGAATGGCATTCCTATGACAACAAAGCCATTTTTCATGCTCTTATACAAAATTGCATGCCGTATCACCTTCCAGTAGGAAATGTGTATACCTTATGGGCAAAATGACAGCTTGTCCTCAAATATTGTTAAACACTAGAAATACCAGGTTTGGAAACTTTGCCTGAAAAGGGGGAAAACATAATGGCCGTACAAAGTTCCACTTTCCTCGACAAATCTTATCAAGGCTCTCGACAAGAAATTATACTTACCAAAAAAAATTTGCTTATTATATACTAAAACCTGCTGTGTCAGAAGCTTTTATGAAAAAAAAAAGTGAATATACTGAATTTTATGCTTAATACAAACTTTAAGACCACAGAAAATAAAAAAGTAGAAGTTTTTGTACATTTTAGCACCATTAAAGTTAGCCTCGAATGCCGGTTCTGTCACTGTGGCTGTACCTTGCAGCTGGTGTAGCTAATGTGAAGCACACTGACTTCAGTGATCTTTGCCAGAATAACAACTGGATTTGCCGATCACAACAAGTAATGTAAGTTTGCCTTTTTTTTTTTTCCCTTTTCTTTTTTCTTTTTTTTTTCTTTTTAAATTAATTTTGAGCTTTATTTTTCTCAGGCAGCCAGAGTGCATTTCTGTCAGCTAAATCCAAGTCCGAGTCCTTTTGGTCTCTGGATGGCTCGTATGGGCTCTGCCATCCCTTTGCCGTCTGGTCCAAGGCCTGTGCCAGGGGTCCAGCCCATACTCTGAAGCATTCTGTTTCCAATGTTGTTTTCTGGGATTGGTTGAGTGTTTTCACCTACAAACCCTGAGATTAAAGAAACACACAGCATTAATCAGCACTGCCTGCCATGTGGAGAAGAGCAGGATAATCTCCCTTAAAGCTTTAAACCTTCTTATTCTCCTAATTCATCTAATAGGTTGCTAGAACAGGCTGTCTGTGCACATGTTGACCTCCTGACTGCATATCATTCTAAATAATACAGTCTTACACTTTGCTTTATTTTTAATGTTTTTCAAGACTCGCTCAGTTTTTAAGTATGACAAATATTGTCATAGATCTTTCATATTCCAATACAGTGGATTTTACATCAGTCTCAAAGAACATGCATCACCTGCACAAGTCTACCAATACATCGGCAAGATTACCCGAATTTCTCGTCCTATACAGTTACTAAGCCGAGGCACATCATACTATCAAGACCATCTTTCTGTTCTTAGCAATATTTATCAATGCTCAAGATCTCTTTCAACAAAACACAGCAAATCATTTCTGATTAAACAATTACAGCTGCTCCAGAAACAGTACAGACAAGTGGTCTACTATTCCAAAATTCAGCTCAATCTTTACGCAGTTTCTCTTTTTACTGAACGTTGTAAGAAAGATTTGATACATCCGAGTTTACTTTTGGTATTTTCAATGCCGCTAAGTGTTGTTTACACTTTTTCTCTCCATACCATCAAGATCTCGAGAAAACCTGCACACACACTGCAGAAAAGATTGTCAGGATTGCAAGTGTTAATGTAACAAATTAGTTTTTTAATAATAGATTCTTCCTCCCCCCCCCCAAACGCATCATTAAAAAAAAGTGAATGTCAAGTAACAAAGCTGGCTTTTTCGCTCATCGACCAAACTCCTTAAGCTAAAGTTTGGAGATGATGCATGGATAAACCTTCCCATAGATAACTATCTTGCATGAGGGATACAAATGATATTTATTTCAAGAATCTGCAGTAAAACTTACCAAGTTACTTCTGAAAAGCCTCATTTAACACACACACACAAAGCAAAGCCCCTCAGTGGAAACCGCATACACAGGCGAAAGTTCAAAATGAGAGGTGCACATTAAAAACCTCGTGATGGTTTTGATGATGAATTTACAGTACTCCAGCATTATCCACTATAGATCTGTTCATATTCAGTAAAACTGACTACATAAAAGGTAGAGAGCTTCCTTAGTATCTCAGTTCCTGAGTCAAAGAAAAAGGGAAACGCATTGAGGGAAGGCATCCTTTAATACTGGTTTGAAGCTATGCTTAATGCTAGGCTTAAAATAAAGGCTTTTAAGTCAGCAGCCTCCGGTCCCCAAGAGAGTTCCTCTTGAACTGACCAGCACAAAATTCAATGTCCAAGACGTCCTTTCTTTTCAGACCCCCACAGGCAGAGGCAATTTTCATACAGACGAGTCCCCGACACTGCCTGGCATACACAACACAGGCTTTGCAACCTTCTTAGTTATACTTTCTAACTCGAAAAAAGGGAAAGAAAAAAGGCTACTGTTCAACAAAAGTTCCAGTAAATCTCGCAGGTAAAATCATGGAAGTGTGTTTTGGTCCGCTTTTCACAACAAGCGATGGTAAGAAACAGAGCGTAGGAACAATTAAGGGGGGAATTTAAAAGGGAAGAAAGATGCAACAGGTCCACCAAGCAGGAAAGAGGGAGGGTAAGGGTACAGGCATCGAAGGACTGGAAATGTTAAACCATTCATAACGCTGCTTGGGCAAAAGACAGCAATGCTGCTGGAATGGTATGCAAGGCGCAGCCTGGGACAACATAAACAGCTTGTTTGTTAGTCTGCTTGGGGGAAAACCCCACAGACCTCTTCCTGTAACCGACGTACCTTTCTGTATCAATTTCAATGCTCAAGACAGCCAGAGCAACCTCACAAAAAAGATATATGAAAGAACAATCTGTACCCTGTTGGGTCACTGAATAAACTGATGTTTCTATTTTTAATATTTTTTTGAAATAGCTCAATGTTTTTTGTTTTTCTTACTGATAGGCTAATTAGAATACTTTTTGCTTTTAAAGACATATAAGTACTTCTAGAACATAAACTATAACTGTTTTTCTCTCCACTGTACATACTTTTATCTCCTTTTAGAAGACTGAAACCTCCCCAAAGAGTTCTGTTTTAATCTTATACGTCACCACACACACACACACAAAAAAAAAAAAAAAAAAAAAAAAGAGAGCTGAAATCACCACAACCTTACCTTCACAACCCGCTTTTGGGCAAACAGCATACACTGTCCAAAGGATAATATGTTTGGAAGCTTTGTATTGCAGCAAGAATAAGGAAAAACCAAAGCCCACCCCACTTGTCTATATTACTAATTGACTAATTACTCCTTCTTACAAACAAGGTGAATATGGACAGCTTTTACTTTAACTGTGAACAATATTTAATATATGCAGACCATTCTTTTGCAGTATAGTCAGTTTTTATATAAATATTATACATATCTGTCTTTAATATACCTGCAATTTTCACCCATCATTTGAAAAATTTATGTGCAACACAACATATTTTTCTCAAGTTGGAAGAATATGGATAGTAGTGTTGCCCTCTTCCTCCATTCCACGACCAATCAGCGATCGAAAAAAATAAAATTTGCACTGCTGATTGACTGCATGACAGCAGAGAGCTCTTAAAAGTCATGCTACACTGTGCGCTATTCCCCTGACCCCCATTCCTGCGCTTTGGGCTTTTATTTTCTAATTAAAAGCAGTAATTGTCCTTGCAATATTCATCTTCAAGTTCAGTTTTTAATTCATGCCTATGGCACTTCTTGGACTAGCCAGTAGGGCTTGTTCGAGAGAACGGTCCAAGCACATTGGCCTTGAAAACGGCCGTGCCACCTCTGGGACACGTGTTCAGTCTCAACCCACCCAGGAGCAAGAACAAAATCAACCCATTGTGCCGTCCCACAAAAAATAACTATGCAAAATCAGATTAAGGGAAAAAAAAAAAGCTGGGATACATTTTTCTAAGTTTATTGCTGCGTGAGGCTTTGTGTGGTTCCAGGAGTTACGGGGAAGTCTCTGTACAAGTAATTTGTAGGAGTTTCCTGTGCAGAGCCTTTTCTTTCTACAGACTGAAAAGGTTTTCAGCAACGGTGACAACTTGGCTCCTGATCTACCAGATGAGTAGTCTGCGTGCAGAAGTGGCTGCCATTACGCAAGTGAGGAGCAAACGCTAAGGAACAGAAACTTACTTGAAAAGACAGCACTGTAAAATACCCTCACTTATGTTCCTTCTCTTTGCAATATTGCCAACAGAACAAAAAAAGGCCAATCCTCAGATCTTTGTGTATATGAATAGAGACACGTCAAGGTCTACACGCATTATGCATATGACCTTACATACATGGTATGTGGAACCTATGAGTAGAAAGAGGCAAAACTGGGAAGGGGAAAACAAAAAACTCATCACATTTGTTTAATTTTGGTATGATATTTATGATGGCATTAAAGGCAGGTTTCAATGAAAAATAAAGGTATGCAATTTTTTCTTAACAGCTGTTGGGACAGGTATATCCTGGTTAAACAGTACACTAGCATTCAGTGCCATACCCTTGATTTTACAATGATTGCCATGAATTAATTTAATTCCATCTGTAAGCTAAAATCAGATCAGAGGTCTAATGCTGCTGCAGGCTCCACATCTGTTTAATCATTTTTGGATACAACAGCTTGCAAAAGTTCAGGTTTTAAATTCGCTTCATATTTAAGAAACAATGTTACACCAGTGTACATCATCTTCAGCAG